GCCGACGATGGGGTATCGGACACCGCCGCTGGGGTTCACGTGTCTGCAGACCTGCTTCGATTTCCAAGCCCCAGCCAGCGTTTCAGAAAGTTGACCTGCAGGCGTAGGGTTCACATGTGGTCGCCCATCGCCCAGCACCTGCATCTTGGAGCTGGTTGGGGGTCTGCGGTTGCCCAGCAGTGGCTTTGGCCAGCAGGAGGGGGAGGGGAAGTTCGAGGTTCTGGGTTCGAGAAGGTGTTTTGCATTTATTCTGTCTCCGGGATTTGTTGTCGGAGCCGACCGTCAACACATATCCAGAGTGCAACACTGAACCAGAGGAACCCCGGGACGGGTCCGAGGACCGACTTGGAGCGGATTTGCTTTCATCTTTCCGTCCAGACCATTCTTCTCGGTGCCCATCCAGCTCAGACCCCGTGGGCGCCTCCAACTTGTGCCATCATCAGCAGCACTATCAACGCGCGGTCGGGATTCGCTTCTCAGCGTGCCGCCTCGGGGGCCCCTGCGACGCGCCAACCAAACCACACCAACCCAACCAGAAGGCCGCGATGTGCTTTCTATTTCCAGTAAGGGGGGGGGGGGGGGGGGAACATGGAAAAACACATACGAAGCCCGTACCCCCCCAACCCGAAATTCGGGTCTTCGTGTTGGGTTGGGGTGGTCTGGTAGGTAGCAGGTATGCTCTGCGAGCGGACAGCGAGTCGCTCCGCTCCGCGAGGCTGGGAGAAGCTCGGGACGTTGACGCTCGGGGGCCGCGACGTGGATCTCGCGTGTCGCGCTGAAGCGCGCTGGGCCAGAATTGGCGACGCTCCGCACTAAGACAGCTCCTGACCGTATCCTCCTCCTCCTCCTCACCACCATCATCACCATCATCGTCATCATCAGCAACAGCAACAACAACGCATCATCGCACCATCACCACCATCTTGGCGTCGGCCAATATCTCGGATCGTGCTCGTTTTCTCTTCGATCTCGTTTTGTTCCCCACCCGACAGGTTGGCTCAATTCTTAGATTTTAACAGCAGAGCTCCCGACCCGCCCACCGACCCGCCCACCCTGCATGCCGCGGACGCCAGATCCCCAGGTCCACCCTGGATCCCCAAGTTTCCCGCCCCATGTCTTGCCTTTTATCATTACCGCCCGCCTTGCACACCGCGGCCGCCAGATTCCAAGGTCCACCTTGTATCACGAGAGTCCCGCCTCCCACCCTAACCTTCACCAGGATGCTTACGACGACGGCTACTACTACTACTACTACTACTACTACCACTACCACTACTACTACTACTACTACTACTACTACTACTACTACGACTACTACTACTACTACTATTACTACTACTACTACTACTACGACTACTACTACTACTACTACTACTACTACTACCACTTACTACTACTACTACTACTACTACTACTACTACTACTACTGTGACTACTACTACTACTACTCCTCCACCTCCCCTCCTATCACTACTGCCACTACTAGTACGACTGCTACTACTACGACTACTACTACTACTACTACTACTACTACTACTACTACTACTACTACTACTACTACTACTACTATTACTACTACGACTACTACTACTACTACTACTACTACTACTACGACTGCTACTACTGCTACTACTAGTGATACGATGGCTAGAATTACGATATCTATTACGGGTGCTACCACTATGACTACTACTAATCATACTACTACTACCACTACTACTACTACTACTACTACTGCTACTACTACTACTACTACTACGACTACCACGACTACGACTACGACTACGACTACTACTACTACTCTACGACGGCTATTACTACTACTACTACGACGACTACTACTACTACTACAACTACTACTACTACTACTACTACTCTACGACTACTACTACTACTACTATTACTACTACTACTCCTACTACTACTACTACTACTACTGCTACTACTACTACTACTACTACTGTGACTACTACTTCTACGTCTACGTCTACTACTACTACTACTACTACTACTACTACTGCTACTACTACTACTACTACTACTACTACGACTACTACACTACGACTAGTACTATTATTTGTATTCTTATCACTACGACTACTACTACTACTACTACTACTACTACTACTACTACTGCTACGACTGCTACCACTACTACTAATACAACTACTACTTTTATTATTATTAATACTAGTACTACTACTACTACTATCACTACTACTACTACTACTACTACTACCACTCCGACGACTACTACTACTACTACTACTAATACTACTACCACGACTACGGCTACGACTATTACTAGTACTACTACTGCTACTCTGACTACTTCTTCCAATACTAATACTTCTTCTTCATTGATACTTCTAGGTCTACTTCTACTCCTACTACGACGTACTATTACTACTAGTGCGACTACTACTAGTACTAGTACTAGTAGTAGTAGTAGTACTTCTACTACTACGAATAGGAATACGACGTGTACTACTACTGCTACTACTGCGATACTACTAGTACGTTTTCAATGCTGTTCCCTATTCTTAGTTTTACGATTCTATATATTACTACTACTTCTTCTTGTACTACTAATCCTACTACTTCTACCACTACTGTTACTACTACTACCACGACTACAGCGACGCCTACTACTGCTACTACTACTACTACGACTACTACTACTACTACGACTACCACTACTACTGCTACTGCTACGATTACTGCTGCTACTGATACGCGGGCGTGTTTATGCAGGAGAAGGAGGGGCCGCAGAATAAGAAGGGTATATACGGACCACTTGCACAGGGCCCTTTGTTCGCCGTGGGCGCCGGCACTTCTCGCTCGGGCCCTTTCTATTCGAGAACCGTATTGCGGGTGCTTCTGCTACTACCACTGTCATCAGAATCCGTATTATTATCATTGGTGTGACTATTACGACAACAGCTACGACTAAAGCAGAACATGGTATTGTATACGCCTGTTGAGGGGTGTATAGCAGACCGGAACATAGCACGAATTCAGACCATTCTAGATAATGGGTCAGAAAGTAGCACAGAGCCGAGCCAGACATATTATACGCTTGCGTGCGAGTATATGCGCTACAGGATAGGAGGTGGAAGAACCTAACAACACAGCAAACCGTCCACACACACTTAGTCCTTATAAAAGTGCGCGATAGAGCTTAGTACAGCATGTTAGAAGAGAATGGGATTCAGTGGGACGTAACAGGGCACAATGCAAAACGGTATGACCGAAGAGAGTACAACAGAACATCTCATCATAAGTTGGATTCAAATACAGCGGAAGTGCACATAGCATTTTCGATTAGAACAGAAAACAGCAGCGACCGACCCGCCTCACCCACCCTGCATGCCGCTGTCGCCATATCCCAAAGACCACCGCTGTCTCTGAGTGGCCTGCCACGCGTTTTCGACGAAGTTCGCGGCGTCACGCCGTCCAGGCGTCACGACGTCACTCCGTTGCCGTTACAGCACACGAATTATCGCTACAGAACAGAACATCGCGGAATATAACGGAGCAAAGCAGCACAGAAGGGCAATACACATAACACGATACAGTATATAACAGTTTAGCCGAAAAGGACAAGAACATGATAGGATACAACAGCATGCTATGTAACACAGTTGGCTAGAACAGAATGGAGCAGGATATGCCACAAACTCGTATCACTGAATGGAAGATCGCAGGACGTAACATACACTGACAGGGTGCATCACATCTGATGGTGTAGGGGAGGGTATACGATGACGAAACAGAGCAATTCCGAGTTCCAGAGAACGGCACATAACACAACACACCAGGAGAAGGGGGCGTGCCGTATTATAGCACATCACCGTCCGCTATACGAGTATAGTCGCGTGTCAGCTAAACATAATGGTAGAACAGGACGGGCCGTACTATACACAGGGGGACATAAAAGGAACCGATGCTAACAAGCAACACTATACGTCGCATGCACGAGCACTGTATCAACACATGGCACATGAAAGCACGCACGATGGCGCAACAGTGAATACGGAAATCAACCAGAGCAGCACAGGACATGTATTAGCAGAATCGAAATTGCCTTAGAATCTAAGAGCGGAGCAGGACAGCACTGCTTCACAGGAAGCTCTGGGATAATATGGCAAAGCATGACGGACCATAACATTGTATTACATTGTATCGTGACGCAGTCGAAGGAAATATGCCATACCATAGCACATATTCGTACAACAGTAGAGCGCAGCACAGGCAATACCATGGAAACGTGGCACTTGGCACTTAACATAGTATAATACATTCGGCCACAATGTTCTTCGTCACCATTTGCTGCGCCCGCTTCCTCTGCCCCATTTCTCCATTCATGCATTCAGTAGGCGCGCGTACCGTTGGAGGCAATCGCCAACGCTTTCGGTGGGGATCGCTCGAAGCATCATACTGTTTATTCTAGGGCCCACCGTTGGCCAATCACGACCCCGGTGTAGCGCCAACATGTTTTTAGTGCAATCGGTCGGACCTCCTCCGTTCCAACACGCTTCAAACAGAACACGGGACGAACACGCAAAATTCTGTGTTGGTCGGCCTTGGAGGTCCTCCTGTATTTGCATCAACCTCATCATCATCAGCATCAGTAAAGAAACAACATCGCGTCATCGCATCATCTTCGTCGTCATCACTACCATTATTGTCACCATCATACCATCATCATCGCTATCACCACGCCATCAGGACCACAACACCATACTGCCATCATCGGCATCATCCCCAGTATCGGCACCATCATCACGCCATCACCACCACTGCACCGCATCCCCAGCATCAGCAGAATCATCAGCCGCATCACCAGCCGCATCACGGTTATCGCCCCCCACCATCCTACTCAGCATCTTACCACCACCGCCACCACATTCGTCATTATCCTCGTCGTCGTCATCGTCGTCCTCCTCCTCCTCGTCGTCGTCGAGGTCGTCGTCCTCCTTCTCCTCGTCGTCGTCGAGGTCGCCCAGCACCTGCGGCAGCCGCTGCTGGGCAGGCTGCCGCTGCCCGACCTGCTGCGCCTCGTGGCGCTGCTCGGCGAGCGCGGCGGCGAGCCGGGCGGCGACGGCGAGCTGGCCGGGGCGCTGCGGCCCGCCCTGGATCGGCTGGCCGCCGACCCAGGCCCACATCCCGGGGGAGGGGGAGGAGGAGGGGGAGGAGGAGGAGGAGGAGGGGGAGGAGGAGAGGAGGGGGAGGAGGAGGTGGAGGAGGAGGAGGAGGAGGAGGAGGAGGATGGGGGAAGAGGAGGAGGAAGAAGAGGAGGAGGATGGGGAAGAGGAGGAGGAGGGGGAGGAGGAGGAGGAGGGGAGAGGAGGAGGAGGAGGAGGAGGAGGAGGAGGTGGAGAGGGAGAGGAGAGGGAGAGGGAGAGGGAGAGGGAGAGGGAGGGAGGGAGGGAGGGAGGAGGGAGGGAGGGGGGGGGGCCCAAATGGGGCGGTGATCACACCGTGTGGTGAGTCGGCGGGGATTCGGGTCACCGCACGGTTTTGGGACTCGGGTCGTTCTCCGAGGACGTCTCGGGCGACTGAGGCATCCGAGGTCACAAGATTGTGCGTTGACGCACCGTGCGGTGAGGTCTTGGGGGATTTCGAGGTCACCGCACGGTCTGTCACCGCATCATTTCGGGACTCCAGAGTGACCTTTCGCCAGAGTGACCTTTGGTGCGGGCCCAATGGGGCCCTCGGATCGCCGAATGAATGCGAGGCGATAGCAGCGGCTTTGCGCGCCTGGTGGTGTCCCCGAAGGGCCCCCTTGGTCGCTCTTGCTTAGGGTCACTCTTGCGTGTAGCTGAAGGAGGAGCGGCTCGAGCTAAACGGTGTTTGGGCGAGTTCGTTGGCCGTTTTCGTTTGGATGCCGTCTCGCAACGAAGGCAGAGCGAAGACAGAGCGAATGAGAACGGAGACAGAGCGAAAACGAAGAAGACTGTTCAGCTCGAGCCCTGGACGCGACATCACCATCTGCAGTTGGGCGTCGCGTAATGGAGGGGCGATAACTGGGGGGGGGCCATTTCGACCCCTCCGATTCGATTCGATTCGTTTCCGATGGCTTCCGATTCCGATTCGATTCGACTTGGGGGTCCGATTTGGGCTCCGATTTCTTATTGGGCGCAAACAAGCCTGCCGATGTCCGCCGATTCGGCTTTTCCCGACTCGGCTGCCGATTTCCGCCGAGCCGATTCATTTCGATCGCCGATCCGACTTCTCGATTCGCTTCTTGGCTCTCCTGGCCTGAGGGGCAGCGAGGGCTGCAGAAAAAAGGGGCCTTCTCTGGGCCCCTCGAGCCGCCACTCCGGGCATGCATCCGGGGAGGGAGAAGCGACATCTTGGTATCGCTCGGACGTGTGCACTTGCTATCCGCGAGGACACCACCGCCACCAGTTGCGCGTCGCGCAATGGGGAGGCGATAAAAGGGGGGTGGGGAGGGGGGCGGCGAGGGATACAGAAAAGGGGCCCTTCAGGGCTCCTAAAGGGGCTCTTTTGGGCCCAGTCGGGGGTCTTTAGGGCCCCCGCTCCAGGCCTGCATTCGGGGAAGGAGAAGCGACACCTTGGCATCACTCGGACGTGTGCACTTTTCATCGGCGAGGACCATCGAGGAGCATCCTGGGTCATCTCGCGAAAAATGGAAAAACGCACGACATCGAGCCATTCACTGGGAATGGACATCCGAGCGATGGCGCGACACCACCACCACCACCACCACCAGGGGATCCAGCGAGGAGGCCCACGATGCCTCCCCAAGCTGGGAGTCGGGGGCGCCTGGAGCGGAGGGGGGAGCCACACCCCCCGGGAGCCCCCCCCGGACTCCTCCCGCTCGTGGCCTCCGGTGGTGGTGGTGCGGTCGCTGCTCCGTGCTCCTGTCTGCAGAGGCTCCGAGCCTTGCCCTCGCCGCTCCACGACTCGAGGTTTCGAGGGTTCGAGGTTTCGAGGGTTCGAGGCTCAAGGGTTCGAGGTTCGACGTTCCTGTTTGCAGAGGGTTCCAGGTTCCAGGGTTCGAGGTTCAAGGGTTCGAGGTTCGACGTTCCTGTTTGCAGAGGGTTCGAGGTTCAAGGGTTTCGGTGTGTTCGTTGGGTCTCGGCGGCCTTCCAGCCTCGGGATGCCTTCCGGCGGCTGCGCCTCGCCGAGAGCGTTCTTTCCTGTGCCTGGATCGTCCTGAACGGCCGCCGGAGCCCCCAGTTATGGCCCGAAAGCCACCAGGGGGCCAGCGCCCTCGCCGATCAACGAGTCGGGCAACTCGGTGGGGAGCGGGGGTAGGTCGGAGGAGGAGGAGAAGGTACCATACCGCTACCCTTACCCTGTTTCTCCCTTCGTGGGTCTCTTTGGAGGTCCTCGTGGCCACTGCTGGATTTGCCTCGAGATTCTAGCCAGACTGCACCCCGAGGGAGGTCCGTGGAGTAGCGGTATCGGTACCTTTTGGCTCCCCCAGGTAGGGCTTGGATTTTGTCGAATGTTTGGCGAAATCCGAACCCTGCCCTCGCCGCCCATCGATTCAGGAGAATCGATGGTTTGGGTGGGGTCGGGTTCGGAGGCCGCCACCTAGAGGAGGCAAAGGTACCAACTCAGACCCCCACGTTAGGATGCAACTCCTGGGAGAGGGTCGTGCCAGAGTCGGCGCTGGCATATCTCGGGTCGGAAACTGGCCGAATTTCGCTCAGTCCCGCTCGATTTGGCTTAACCCCGCTTAGACTGGCTCGATCCCGCTTCATCCAGTTTTAATGTCGTTCAATCCAGCTTAATCCTGGGCTAAATCTGGCCTCGTCCGGCTTTACGGCCCTTCCATCGGGCGCAATCGCCCTGAATCGATCTGACGAAGACTTGCCAGGAGTTGCCTCGTAGAAATAATGACGGCGGTAGCGTTTTGGTCATTGTGGGGGGAGTCCGGGTAATTTTGATGTCTGCTTATACCGTTACACCGTTACACCATTACGCTAACGGTGCAACGCTACACCGTAACACTGTTACACCGTTACTCTAACGGTGTAGCGCTGTACACCGTTACACCGTTACCCTAATGGTGTAACGGGGTAACGCTACCCATTGCACCGTTAGCCGCAACAGTGCAACGCTACACCGATACACCGTTACACCGTTAGCGGCAACGGTGTAGCGCTGCACCGTTGCACCGTTGCATTATTAGCCGCGACGGTGTAACGTTACACCTTTACACTACACATTTACCCGCTACGAGCCACGTTACGCTTCACAGTTGTCCAGCCCAAGGCCCATTCCGCCCCCAACCGAAGGGACCTCCAAAGCAAATTTTCAAAACAAATGATTTGTAGGTCCCTTCCGTCGCTGGCTGGGCCACGCGATGAGCCAAACTATTGACACCTGGGGGTCTGGACGCCTACGGGGGTTGATCTGCTCCGTTGCGGCCCATTGTCATTGTGCAACGGTGTAATGACTGCCCCAGAGTTGTCCAGCACCCCTCCCAAGCGGCCTCAAGGTCCGTTCAGCCGCCGTCTGAAGGGACCCACACGGCATGTTCGGCTCAGAAAGCGCGTTGTCGGTCCCTTCGGTCGCTGGCTTGACCGCGCGACGCTGTTCCTACATGACCTCGGAAGCAAACCAAGATGAACCCAGAGAGCTCCAGGATGGTGTCCACGAGTGATTGCGGGAGTTGCAAGAGGAGCATGAGTAGTGGGAGAAGGAAGAGAAGGAGGAGGAAGTCATGATCATATCCTCGTCATCGCCAGCACCAGAAGCATCCGTAGCCATGTGGGCTCAACCCATGTCGGGCCGCAGCCGGGTCCCCCGGTCGCGCCCGCAATTGGTTGTAACCGATCCCTACCTACACCCAGAGGTGGGCGACGTGGAGCAGGATGTCGTGTGGGATCCACACCTCCCTGGAGGACCAGCAGCTGAGCCCGCCCCTCCGCCGAGCCTGCAGCGGTGTCGCCGCATGCCTGTCCATGCTCCGTGGGCATTCAGGTCGCCATGAAAGAGTCGATCAGACGCCGGCGCGCGGAGGGCCACGGCCACCCAGCCGCAACCGCGGGCGTCCCGCGCGCTTGCCGTTCGGGCTTCGGTGGGCCGAGGTTCTACCGCTGAACCTGCGAGCGCGCCGCAGGCTAGCGGCCCGTTGCGCGATCCTCGGCAGACAGCGGCGCGCCCAGGGGACGCCGCCGCGCGGGTGGCTGCAGGAAGGACCGCTGCAATCCTGAAGGAGCTCATGGAGTGCTTGCTGTTTTGCCCGAAGGCGGCCAGCGTGACGGCGCCGCCGTCTCAGAGGCTGGCCGCTGGCGTTTCTGCGCGGCCGTGCGGCGCGGATGTTTTCGTGCTCTCAGTGTGCACCAGGTGGCGCGTCCCGCGCGCAGATGTCGTGCCCCTGCACAGGGACGCAGATGGTTGGGTTGCGCGTCTGCGCGACGCACGGACGGTGTAAGCAAGGTCATTGATTCGCGCCCAGGCCAGACGAGACGGGCAGAGGCGCAAGCGTCCATTTCCGGCGGCGCGCACCCTCGGGCGCCCCGGGTGCGATTCCGAGCTTGGACTTTGCCCCCGCGCGTGGTCTGGCCAACCAGTGGACCGGCTTTGCGGGATCATGCGGCTGCCAGCGCTGCCCACGGCAGGCCGCATGGCGCCCAATCCAGAACCGAGTGCAGGTCCGATCTGTCCTCGACGTCCCCCTCCCGCTGCCGTTCGACGCGCGCCCGTGGCGCTGTTCGCCGAGGGAGTGTGGGCGAATGTTTCCCGTGGAAGACGCGGATGTACGCCGCGTGTCCCACGGCATCCTCATCCGCGCCGAGGAGCGCGCCGATCTACATGATTGCGGCCTTCCTGACTTTCGTCGTCCAGAACTTCTACGAGGAGCTGAACACACATGCCGTCCGTCGCGGGATCCCCAGTCTGTACGCTGCGAAAGCCTTATCATTGCAGCTCGGTCCTGGCGCGGCTCCCGCTGTGACGGCGGTGCCGCCAGCTGGCGCTTTGCGTGCGTTGCTCAAGGTGGCGCTCGGCAATTTCTTGGACGAGGCGGTGGCCCATGTTCAACGCCTTCAGTGCTTGAACAATGGTCCGCCGATCTTCACCCCCCCCCCGTTCTCAGGGGGGTGGGGGTTTGGGGGGGCAGTGCTGGCCTCGCACACGGGTCGGAAGATCAGGCGGGCCCCCAGGTCAAGTGAACCGAGGCGGCGGGAATTTCAAGCCCGCCAAGCGAGTGTGCCATCGTGCGTGGGGCTCGCGCTTCCACTTGCGGCCGTTCACCGTCGTCTTGGCGTGGACTGGGACGGACGGCAGCCTGCTGAAACCCGTCACCCGAAGCGCGGCGAGACGGTTTATGCCATCGTCGAAGGCTTGTCGCCGCTGCTGGACAGCATGAAAGCAGCCCGCCTCGCCGCGGACCTGCCGCCCGAGGCGTGCGCCTCCGTCTTCCACGCCACGGACAACTTCCGGAGCCACCGCGTGCGGCTCCGGGCCCTGTGCAGGCAGAAGTGGCCGGAGCGGAACCTCGGCCCACCGAAGCCCGAACGGCAAGCGCGCGGGAAGCCCGCGGTTGCGGCTGGGTGGCCGTGGCCCTCCGCGCGCCGGCGTCTGATCGACTCTTTCATGGCGACCTGAATGCCCACGGAGCATGGACAGGCATGCGGCGACACCGCTGCAGGCTCGGCGGAGGGGCGGGCTCAGCTGCTGCTGGGAGGTGTGGATCCCACACGACATCCTGCTCCACGTCGCCCACCTCCGGGTGGAGGTAGGGATCGGTTACAGCCAATTGCGGGCGCGCCCGGGGGCTCGGGCTGCGGCCCGCCATGGGTTGAGCCCTCATGGCTACGGATGCTTCTGGTGCTGGCGATGACGAAGTTATTTGCATGGCTTCCTCCTCCTTCTCTTGCTCTCCCACTACTCACGCTCCTCCTGCAACTCCCGCAATCACTCGTGGACACCATCCTGGAGCTCTCTGGATTCATCTTGGTTTGCTTCCGATGTCATGTAGGAACAGCGTCGCGCGGTCAAGCCAGCGACCGAAGGGACCGACAACGCGTTTTGTGGGCCGACCATGCCTTGTGGGTCCATTTGGTCGGCGGCTGAGCGGACCTTGGGGCCGCTTGGAGGGGGGCTGGACAGCTGCGTCCACGCCGCTACGCCGCTACACCACTACACCGCTACACGCTGACAGTGGGGCGCAACGGAGCAGACCCCCAGGTGTCAATAGCTTGGCTCACCGCGTGGCCCAGCCAGCGACCGAAGGGACCTACAAATCATTTGTTTTGAAAACTTGTTTTGAAGGTCCCTTCGGTTGGCGGCTGAACGGGCCTTGGGCTGGGCAGCTGTGAAGCGTAACGTGGCTCATTGCGGGTAACGGTGTAACGGCGTAAAAGTGTAACGTTGCACCGTTGCGGCTAACGGTGTAGCGGTGTAGCGCTACACCACTGCCGCTAACGGTGTAACGGTGTATCGGTGTAGCGTTGCACCGTTGCGGTTGACGGTGCGCTGGGGTGCTACATCGTTACACGGTTGGCTGTTAGCGTAACGGTGTAGCGGTGTAGCGGTGTAGCGGTGTAGCGCTACGCCGTTCCAGCTAACGGTGTAACGGTGTAGCGGTGCAGCGTTACACCGTTAGCGTAACGGTGGGTGTAACGGTGTAGCGGCGTAGCCCTACACCGTTGCCAGTTAACGGTGTAACGGCGTAGCGGCGCAAGCAAGAACTAGCGCTTTGGATCCCCCCGCGCTGGAAAATAATGACGGCGGTAGCGTTTTGGGCAGTGTTCGGCCTCCATGGCCCCCACATGGCTTCGGGACCGTCACGAGACGGCTCAGGATGAAACGCTTGCCCCAGGGATTGGGTTGAGAGTTCGGGGGTTCACGTGGCGAAAATGTTGTGCCCTCGACGTCGACCTCGAGTCTTCCCCCGCAGACCTCGGGACGGCTCGCACATGTCGGGCCTGAGGTGGCTCTGCGTTTCTGGCCTCGGGTGGCCGCCTTCGGGCCGACAACAGATAGAGGCTCGGAGTGCAAAAGCCGGTGCCCGTGAAGGGGTCGGAGGGAAAGGTGCAACAGAAAGATAAGGCCTACGGCGCCCGTGGTGCTCTTCCGCAGGGTTGCAGTTCTGCCGCGATAACAGATCTCAGGGCGGGCCCGAGCGGCGGGGAGATTCAGCGTGGAGGAAAGTCGGTTGGCAGGAGAGTGGTTTGGGGGGGCCGTAACTCGGGCCTCTGGAAGCCGTTTGGGACGATTCGGCCTGCTGTAAGCTCGGCGTCTGGCGCACCCTGAGATCCAGGGGCCTGGCGTTGCACGGTTTTCGCTGCGGGCGTCGTCGCCCGGCTTCGGGCCCCCAGGCCATCACAGATCGATCGGGCCTGAAAAATGCCGCAGGAAGACAGGGCCTATGGTCATCGAGCACAAAAGAACCCCTAACCCGAACAACACGATGAAGACGTGGCCTCACTGGGCGGTTTGGTTTGGCACGCCTGCAGAAAAGACCCCTTATCCATGATGCTCGTGGCCCTCCTAAGTTAGGTTCCCGCCCAAAGGGCTAGGGGCCCTTTTTCTGTGAATCACATGGCTCTGGGGACGATGTCCCGGGATGTTGCCAGTGCCCGACGATGCCGAACCTCCGGGGAGGTCCCAACCCCTCCCCCAGGGCAAGTTTTTCGCCTGGGAGCCGTTTCTGATGGCCCTGCAGGGCCAGAAGAAAAACACGGCCCCCGGGGGCCGCCATCGAGGAACAGCGCCCCGGATCGAAACGGACATGTCGTCGGAGATGTGGGGGATTCCCCCGTAAACAGACCTCGCGCGGCATTCCCAGAACCATGCGGGTACGATCTCGGGTGCACGTCGCGACTCGATCGGCGATGAATATCGCCGATATGCCGATATGTGCCCCCCCTGAGCTGGGCCCCCCCCCCTCTGACTCAGGCGATCGCAAACATGGATCAAGGGGGCGTGGATTAGCGACGGGTCACGTTTCCACAGGAAATCGCGGATTTCCGCCGCCGAACGAGGCGGCACCGGCCGCATTTTGGAGAGGGCGCCTTCCCCGATCCATGGATTTGGCGACCGCGCGCCAAATCCATGGATCGCTAATCCATGTTTGCGCGCCCCCGACTAACGCTGCCCCGATGTTTCCGATCCGGGGCCCCCGGAAGTTTCCAGGGCTGGCAGCCTCGTCGTGAGCAGTTTCTCGGGCGGCCCGGGGGCCCGTGAGGGCCCCCAGAGGCAGAAATGTGCCGCAAGTCTCTCGCCGCGACTTCTCGACGACGCGAGGGGATCAGGGTCTGGGGCCGCGCATGGAAAAGTTCAGATCCGCGGACCACGAGATCCGAGCGTCGCAGTTGTGCCTCAACGTTCGTTTTCGCCTCGTCTCGGGCCTCGGGGCCATCCCGGATCGACGCCGCTCGAGAAATGGCGCCTGACGGTGGGGCCCAGGGCTCTGGCAGTGATGTTTTGCGATGTTGTTACTCTTCGCTACGGTCAGCCCGCACAATAATGGTGGGCAGGAGGAGGAGGAGGAGGAGGAGAAGGAGGAGGAGGAGGAACCTTCCTAAGGGCACCCTTGCATCCTCGTCTCCTCGGTCCCTCCTTGGCCGCTTCCGCTGGCCGCGCCCCGCTCGAGAAGCTGCCATGTGGCACTCCGAGGCCCTTGCATCGTTGCCCCGCATCTTTTTACCAGCCTGGAACATATCCCCATCCCTATGCTGGTCACCTCCTCATCACGATGCCAATCTCAGGGATCCCCTCATGTTGTGAGGGCGAATCCCTCAGCTCGTCATCGCCTTTTGGCGTGTCAATCTTAGGGATAGGGATACGTTCGAGGCTGATACTCCAGATTTCGTGATAAAAGGGAGGGGGTCTCAACCCTCCCAGACGAGAAGTTTTAGACCCCCCCCCGTGGGAGAACCCTCCAAAACATCGTCCCCAGACCCCCCCAGGCACTCCAAGATAGCCTGGAAGAGACCCCCCCCCGAAATGAGACCCCCCTCCCTTTATTACGAAATCTGGAGTAATCTTTCTGACACGGGTTGCCTGCAGGTCGGATCTCTGGGGGGGGGCGCAAGGCCTCGCGGCGGCGCCCGCCGCGGCGCTGCTGCGCGTCGCGGTGGCCGCCACCAAGTCGGCCGCCGTGGCGGATAGGCTCCTGGGCCCGGTCGCCGCGGCGGCAGCGGAGCAGCTGGAGGCCTGGGCCTACCGGCCTCGAACGTACAGTAGGGGTCTCGAAGAAGGAACCCTTTTCGTTGGGGAGGGGCTCGGCGTTCCTTGATTGTTTTACAGTTCGCCTTTGGTTTTCCCTAGGGCTTCCATGGGAACTCGAAGTTTATCTCATGGGGAAAAGGGGCCTCGTTTCTCATTTAGGGTTCCTTAGGTCAAGGCCTCGAACGTATCCCTATCCCTAAGATTGGCACGCCAAAAGGCGATGACAATCTTAGGGATTCTCAAAAACCAAGGGGATCCCTGAGATTAGCATCGTGATGAGGAGGTGCCCAGAATAGGGATAGGGACAATGTTCCAGGCCGGTAATGGGCGCGAGGGGTCATGGTGAAACATCGAACGCATTGGACAGCATGACTTTTGCGAAAGATCCAGCCGTATGGGGCGTTCCAAAGAGGGCCTCGCCTGCGAGGAGCGGCGGAGTTGTCATCTCTTCCGCGGCGGAAGGGCGGCGGAAGGTCGGCGGAAGTGAAGCGAGGCCGCCTCCGCCGGCGGAAGCCGGCGGGAGGGCGGCGGAAGGCGGCGGAAGTAAAAAATGCGCACTTAGATGACAAGATTTTTTGGGGTTCAGGGTTTCCGGAACCCGCCATATGCAGTCCTGAGTATCGCAAGGCAGGCGGGGCGGAGGAGGGAGAGCTCCCCCATGGGGCCACGAATCGTGTGAGGGATGTGCCGAAATGGACATGCGGTCGGCTGAGGTAGGGACGGGAGGTGGAGGGGGAGGAGGTGGAGTGAGGAGGACGCGGGGCGCTGTCTCTTCAAATCGAGGACCCTGCACCACCGATGGGTGGGATCAAGGCATGAGTTTCTCGCGTGTTCGGCTCCTAGGGGCCTTCGCTGGGCCCCGACACCGTCGAACAGTTATCAGGAGGGAAAAAAACACACAGACACAATTAATCCTCGATTCCCAGGAAAATATGGGAAAATATGGGAATTGGGAGGGAAGACAAAAACCAAGAAAATATGGGAAAATATGGGGACTATTTTTATTTGTGTGTATTTATTTGTGTGTCATAATTTCCCTTTAAGTTATTCGGGACGAAAAACTGACCCTGGGGGCATGGGTACAAGCCCATGCCCCCTCGCGTCAAGAACAAAGACATGACGGGAGGTTTTTGACCAGTCCCAGCCTTCACAGTCATCAACTACTTCGAATGGTCCAGGAAGGGGTCCAGACCTCTTGGGGTCCATGTGGTGAGAAGTCATGACGTCAGGGATTGGGGAGTGGTCATGCGTGGGGCCAGGTGGGCAGAGGAACCTGCCCATCCAGAGATCTGACGTTTTGATTTGCCAGGGCGGGATGTTCATGTTGATTATTGTCAACCCGCACAGCAATGACGAGCAAATTTCCAAGGTTGCCCTTGCATCCTTTCCCTTCTGCCCATCCTAGGCCACTTTCGCTGGCCGCGCCCCGCCTGCAAAGTGTCGGCATGGCCTTCCGAGGCCCTTAGCTTGCATCCTTATCGTGTGTCCTTCTCATGCGGGTTGACCTTAGTTTTTGTGGACGGTCACGGGTCCAAACCAGGGCCTCTGGAGGCCCTGGTTTGGACGCGAACCAGCGAACTGCGGGTGGGCTTGGGGCCCGAAACTCGGCGAGCACATCCGCTGTGACAAAAATGCAACGCCCAGATCCCAAACCCCCGAAGTCATGATCTTAGTCATGACGTCGGCCCCCAATGCTCTCGCCCCATTCCACAGGACTGGCCTTCCATCCCGATGGCCGACTGTTGACGGCCACGGGGCCCGGCGAGGGCCCCCCGAGGCCGAGAATGGTGCAGAACCTCCCGTACAGTCGGGGCCCTGGAGAAGGAACCCTCTTCGTTGGGGAGGGGCTCCGTGTTCCTTAGTTGTTTCGCAGCTTGCCTTGGATTTTCTTTAGGTTTTCGATACGAAATCGAAGTTCAACTTATGGAAAATAGGGGCCTCGTTCCTTATTTAGGGTTCCTTAGGTCAACGCCTCGACTGTATTTTTGTCGCGACCCGAGGGCGTCTGGGATCACCCCGCCGAGACCCGACCCTTAGATCCGACGCTGCAGAACAGCGACCCGGAGAGGTAGTTTTGGAAGCCGAGCGATCCTTGCCCCTCGACTTCCAAAATGTCCTGGGAGTCGAGGGGGACTAGTCTGGAAGTCGACGCTGAGATCCTGGGAGTCGAGGGTTTTTTGTCACGACCCTGAGAGCCGACGCTGCAGAACAGAGTGCGACATCGCAACAACGCGCGACCCAGGTCCCCAGACCCCGTCTTCCTGCCCCACTCCTTGAGCCGGATCGACCTGTGCGAGGAAGACGAGGAGGACGAAGAGGAGGAGGAGGAGGAGGAGGAGGAGGAGGAGGCGGAGGAGGAGGAGAAGGAGGAGGAGGCGGAGGGGGAGGAGGAGGAGGAGGAGGCGGAGGAGGAGGAGGAGGAGGAGGAGGAGGAGGAGGAGGAGGAGGGGAGGGATGAGGAAGAGGGGGAGGAGGAGGGGGAGGAGGAGGAGGAGGAGGAGGAGGAGGAGGAGGAGGGAGGAGGAGGAGGGGCGTAGGAGGAGGAGGAGGCGTAGGAGGAGGAGGAGGAGGAGGAGGAGGAGGAGGAGGAGGAGGAGGAGGAGCCGGATCGACTCAGGAGGGAAAAAACACACAGGCACAAGTTTTCGTCCATTCCCAGGAAAGTACGGGAAACTGTGGGAAGTGGGGGGGAAGACAAAAACCCAGAAGATATATGGGAAAGTATGGGGAGTCCTTCTATCTGTGTGGGTTTGTTTGTGTGTCCCAGGGCCCCTTCCTCGACCTGTGAGGGTCCCTGGGCCCGAGCGGGCCCGCGGGCGTTCGAGCGCGCCGCCTGGCTCTCAGGGGGCCCTCGCTCTGGAGGCCCTCCTGGGCGCCCCCCCTCGCGCGGGAGGCCTGGGCGCTGGACGACGCGGCGCAGCTTCTGCTCGCGGCCGCCAAGGCCAGGGCCGGGGCCGCCAGCGAGGGCGCGCGGCGGCTGTTCGCGCGCGCCGGGGACGCCAGGGGAAACGCTCCCTGAGATCCTTCATCAAGCAGTGGCGAAGCGTCCTGGCTCGCCTGTAGCCCTACCAAACAATGTTCTAACAACCTTTTGTGGTTTCTACGAAATGTTCGAACATTTCTGGCTGATATTGTCTTGTTTAAACACATCGGGCTTCTGTTCTAAGAACAGTGTTTTTGCACTTAGAACATTTTGGGGGTTCTAAGAACACATCGTGGCAGCACTATAGGAATGCCGGGACGGTCGGTCCCTGAGATCCTTCAGGGGCAGCGATCCGCGCATCGACTTCAATCGCCCATGGATCGCCGAGAAGGCTCTCATAGCCCCACCCCCCAGGACGGTGCTGATGCGTTGTCGGGTCCCTATCTTGGATCTATCGGCGATGTATCGGCGAATCCAGGTCCATGGCGTTCCGCTTGCTTTTCACACAGCGGGCGTTTTCGCCCAGTTTCACAGATCGATCCGGCTTGAAAAGCAGCGCAGAAAGATAGGGTCTGGGGCTTCGGTTATGCTTAGTTACGATGTTGCACTTGTTTTGCAACGTCGGATCTCAGGGTCAGGGGGGGATCCCAGACCCCTCGGGTCGCGACAAAAATCACGACGGGAGGTTTTTGTGCATTTTCGGCCTCCGGGTGCCTTCCCCGAGCCCAGTCTAAAAGCTACTCCGGATGAGTAGCTGGCCCGGGGGAACGGGTTGAGACATCCAGAGGTACATGTTGGCAGAAATCATGTCGGGGGTCTGCCTAGGCTGAGGGAGGATATGCATTGGCCCCCAGTCGCCCATTGATCGCCAATGGGCTCAGGGGCGATGTTAGAGTCGTGGTTCGAGGCTCGAGGTTTTCGAGCAGTTTCATTGGTTCTCGTCGGTTTCCCAGCCTCGGGGTGCGTTCCAGCGGCTGCGCCTTGCAGAGAGAGTTTCGGAGGTGCCCAGATCGTCCCGAAGGGCCGCTGGAGATCCGAGTTATGACCCAGACAACCAGCCGACGAGGATACTCCTGGGGATGCACCGGCCCTCAATCGCCCTCTGATCGCCAACAGGGGACCGGTAGCCCACCCTAGCACAGGAGCATTCGGATTCGCAGTCGGGGGCGTGCGAAGGAATCCCGGAGGCCTCGCGCAACAAAACAAAGAGAAGAAGGTGTGTCGTCTAGTCCATGCGTGTGCTCCGTGAGATACGGGTCAGCGTTCGCTCGACGGTGCCCCGACGTGAAGCCGACATAAGCCGACGTGGTCCGACGGAAACCCGACGTGGATCCGACGTAAGGCAGGTCTCCAGCTGCCGCGCGAGGCCTCCAGGATTTTCCTCATGCGAGGGCCCATCGCCGATCTATCTGGGAGGTGTCGCCGATTTCAGGTCGATGCCCCCCCCGCTGAGCCGCCCTCCCCCCTATACACGCCAGTCGTTGAAAGTAGGTATTTCTGGATCCCCAGATCTTGATTTATCTCAAGCGCCCTCCTACTTCAAGAGTCGATCTGCTCTTGCTGTGTCTTGTTATTATCTGGGAGGCCCGGGCCACATCTACCTCATCCGGCTTCCTACCTCATGTTCATACCTGCTCCTTCCGACCGACGTGCATCGTTTTGCCCCTCAGGACGTGCTCCCGCCGCGGCTGCCGGAGACGAGCGCGGCACAGCTGCTCAAGGTGCGGTCACGGAGAGAACGCCCGCGCAGACGAGTCGACTGAGTCGGTGGTTCAAAGATGGGGTCCTGAGGGATGGGGGCCTAAGGGTAGAAAGGGATACAAGGTTTGATTTACGTTGTTTGAGCCTTGGGACCCCTTCCCTCAAGATCCCATCTCTGACCTGCCGACTCAGGAGCTGCGCCAGTCCGCTCGACAGTGGCGTGCAACTGCGCTGGTGCTGCCCCCAGTCGGATTCGCGAATCGACGTGTGTGTTGCCGGATCCCTCCGCGTGTTCTTGGGCATCGATTATAGCCATCCCACCCCGGTCCACTGGGAATGCGGTGCCATGAACACGTGGGTGCCCCTGGAAGTTTCACTAAAGGGCGTGTTGCTAAAGGGCGCTTCTCGAAAGCTGCGAAGAAGGACAACACAGTGCACAAACATAGTCAGAACAGGAAGAGATACCGATCCCGCTGCCTTGGTCTCGTCGCCACGGCTGAGTTCGCCTCGAAATTCGAATCTGAATGCTGAATGCACCCCTTGAGATGTCCAGGGAACTGCGGTATCGGTACTCTGTTGCCTCCACACCAGGCGTGGCAACATCAAACGAGGGCATCCACAAGAAAGGACAACCCAGACATCTAACGCACTGCAACAAAAATCAAGACCGAGTCTTTTTGGTGATTTCCGGACACTGGGAGTCCTCGCCAGGCCCCACAGGACCGTCAAAGACAGACTCACGATGAAGAACATGCCCCGCGGAAAAGGGTCGGGCCGTGTTGAGAGAAATCAGAACACCGGACGTCTGGGAACAAGTAACATAAACGTGAATTCTCCCTGAGACCCGGGCGTTGCAATTTCCCGCCGGGCGCTTTTGCCTGGTTTCGGGGCCCCGGCCTTTCACGGACCGATCGGTTTCAAGAAATGCCGCAGGAAGTTGGGTCCCGGGCTCAGGCCGTTATTCTTCAGCCGTTCGAGGTCCGAAGGAGATGCACTCTTGCGGCAGAAAGCCCTGAAGGGCACTGCACACTTACAGGGAGAGGGGCCCCGATGAGGGGCCGCGACAGGCCACCGATTTCGGTGGCCGCGTCTCCTTGACCAGGTGATGGAAGCGTTCCAGAACAGTCAAAACAAGCTGTCTAGGGAATACATAAGCCTTCCTCTCCTTTCCTCCCTCTCCCCCTCCCGCCTCGCTTCCTCTGTCTTCTCTCTTTTCTCGCTTTCTTTTTCCTCTTGCCTCTCCTTCCTTCCGTCAAAATCATCAACCCTCCCGGCGACCGCCGCCCTCTCTCTTGCAGAGAGGAGGAAGCACCAAAACCTAACTGTTCGGAGTCCGCGCTTATCCCCATCGGGCCCCCCCGTCCTGGCCGTTCCTAGGATCTCCTGCCGCAAGGTGGCAGCATGTATGTCTGCGTCTCTTGCTCCACTTCACTTCTTGCCAGGTGGTGCTCGCTGCAGGCGCGGTGGAGGGCTGCCGGCCGCTGCTGGAGGCCCCGCGGGGGCCACCGCCGCCGCCGCCGCCGCTGCCACCGAGCGAGGTGAAGGCTCAGATTCGGGCATCAAGAGAACCCTCACCCAGACAAGTCGACGGAGGAAACTTGCACGGGTTCGCTAGACATCTGTATGCGAGTGTGCCGGAGCAGTCTCTCAAGCAGTGACGAAGCGTCCCGGCGTGCCTATAGCCCTACCAAACAATGTTCTAAGAACTTTTTGTGGTTCCCACGAAATGTTCTTAGAAGATTTCTGGCAGAGACTCTCTTGTTTAAGCACATCGGGCTTATGTTCTAAGAACATTGGTGTTGTGCTTAAAACCTTTTTGGGTTCTGAGAACATTTCGTGGTAGGACTACAGGAATGGCGGGACGGTCGGTCCCTGCTCAAGTCTCCAGTCGGTTTCGCCAATCGGCGTGCGTCTCGCCAGATACATTTGGTTGTTCTTGGACGTCGATCGGCTACCCTGCTGGGGTGCTCTCGGAATACAGTGCCGTGCGCACGTGGACTGCCCCATGCAGCTTTCACTAAAGAGCGTTTTGCCAAAGAGGTTTGTGCCCAACCCCGACATGTGGGTGCTCCCGGCTCCTCTGCGTCTGATTTCGGACGTTTTCGTCGGTTCCCAGACCGGGCAAAGGTAAAGATTCCGGTTTGCTGGAGCTGGTGTTTATCGCCCTTTTCTGATTGTCGTTGCGTGTTTTTTTGGTGATCCAGTTTTTGTGGGATGTGTGCCGCGGGAGGTCGTGTCAAATTCCAGATTAGGTCTGACAACTTTTCTGGAGGCTCCGTCAGTCCAGCTCGAGTCCCCGAAGTTCGAGTCTCACATCTCCCCGACTGGAGGCTTTCCAGCCTCGGGGTGCTCAGCAGCAGCTGCGCCTCGCCGAGAGCGTTCGGGGGTGCCCGAATCATCCCAAACGGCTTCCAGAGGCCCGAGTTACGGCCCCCCAAATCCATTCTCCTGCCAGCCGACTTTTCTCCACGTTGGATCTTCCCGCCGCTCGGGTCCGCCCTGAGGTCTGTTGCCGCGGCAGAACTGCAACCTTGCGGAAAAGCACCACGGGCGCCGTAGGCCTTATTTTTCTGGTGCATCCTTCCAGCTGGCTCGATTCATGACGATGTCCGTGGGAGGCCGCGCAATGGGGAGGCGATACATTGGGGGTGGCAGCGAGAGGGCTGCCGAACAGGGGCCCCAGGGAGCCTGGAGGGGCCCTTGAGGGCCCCAGAGGGGGCCTAAAGGGGCCCGAAAAGGGCACCTTTCCTCGGAAGACAGGTGCCACCCCAGTTCAGATCCACGATGGAGCCAATGCCACGCGGTTGCGTTCGCCAACGTTTCCTTCCAGACAAGGCGGGGCCCCATCGGCTCGGGGGCCGTGCTGCGCGAGGCCAAACGAATTAGTTCTAGGTGCCAGATGCAAATGTTCTAGGTGCCAGAGAGCGCTGTCTGGGTGTTTCCCCCCTCCATTGACCACCACCCCCCTCAGGCTGCGCCCACATTCGAAGCTGGGCGCAGCCGCCCGCCGCGAAGGATGGCAACGCCCAGATCTCGGGGACGCCCTCGGACGTCCGACGATGTGCTCTGCCCGCGCGCGGCCCCCGGCACTCCCCACCCGTTGGGTGGCTGCAGACGTCGAGCAGTCTGCACAATTCTTGAGCCTAGGACTACAAGTTCTTGAGGCAGTCCATCTTCTGAGGGGTGCTTTTGTTTTCCTCTGCGGCTTCGTATTCCGAATGCGAGCTTCTCTTTGGCAGCGTTTGGCTGCTACAGGCGTCAACTTGCCTCACTCGTTTGTTTTTCCAGAGGTCAGGCAGCTCCTGACTAGGCCCCTTCCCAGCACTCCCCACCCGCTCCCCACGGGGGGCCAGCCCTCCGTCCCGGACCCGTTTTTGTGGATGGTCCCGGGGCCCGACATCGCGGAGCCCGACCCTGAGATCCGAACCCAGACCCCCTCGGGCAATGAAAACATCACGACGGGAGGTTTTTTGCTATTGTCGGCCTCGGGGGGCCCTCGACGGGCCTCGGGACCGTCAACAAACGACTCAGGATGAAAAACCGGTCCAGGGGAATGGTTCGAGATCTCTGGAGGTCGACGCGATGAAAAAATCACGACGTCGGGGGTCTGGGAACGCCGAACGCAGAACGCAGAACGCAGCTGTCCACGCCCGGGAGGGCGGCCCGAAGACAGGCGACAGGCGTGCTCAGCACGCTGGCCCTTAAGGAGAAGAACCGGCGATTAGCTGCGCTGAAGCATGGCGTGCGAGAAGGAAGCGAAGCGAACGGCGCGCGTTGCCCCTCCTCCTCCTCCTCACCCCTCCTCCTCCTCCTCCTCCCTCCTCCTCCCTCCTCCTCCTCCTCCTCCTCCCTCCTCCCTCCTCCTCCTCCTCCTCCCCCCTCCTCCCCCCCCCCCCCCCCCTCCTCCCTCCTCCTCCTCCTCCTCCCCCTCCTCCCCCTCCTCCCCCCTCCCCCTCCTCCCCTCCTCCTCCTCCTCCCTCCTCCTCCTCCTCCTCCTCCCTCCTCTTCCTCCTCCTCCTCCTCCTCCTCCTCACCCTCGCGGCAGCCGAGACGCGCGCCCCGCGGCAGGCCGCGGCGGCGGAGGCCACCTCGCGGTTCTCGGACCTGAAGCCGGCGCAGCTGCTGGCGCCGCCGCTCCCCCCGCTCGGCGGCGAGCCCGCGGGGGGGGGGAGGCATCGTCGAGCCGACCCCTCTCTCGGCGGGGAGCGAGGTGGGGAAGTGGGAAGAAGAAGGCCCTGCCCCCCCCCCCGCGCACAATCTGAGAAGTTTTCTGCGGGGGAAGGCTTAGGAGACTGCTCAGAAGTCTGGGGGGCTTCTGAGCCTTCTGAGGAGGCCCGCCCCTTCTCACTTCCCCCCCGCGCTCGCCGCCAGCTATCCCCATGCAGACCCCCACCATCCCTATTCGCATCCTCATCCCATCCCCCGCCAGACTCAGATGAGGAAAGGGTGCCGATGCCGCCACCCTTCCCTCTTGTTCCCTTGTGGGGGCCTCCCGGGAGGCCCTCGTCGCCACCGCTGCCTTCGATTCGCACCGAAAGTCTGGTCAGCACGCACCCCAGGGAGAGGTCCGGCGAGAAGCGGTATCGGTACCTGTGGCTCCCCGTCCAGAGCCCCACCATTAGGGGTCCACATGCGAACCCTCCCCCTCAGAAATCGTGTGGGGTGGGGGTAGGGTTCGCATGTGGCCCCCTAACCATCTCACCACCCCAGACGGGGATATGTTCCTTGAGAGAAGCCGCCAGGAAGCGGCTCGCGTCCCCATCTAGGGGGGCAGAGCGGCCGGTTCGGGGCACGCCGTTGGGGAGGGGGGTCGGCTCGGCTCGACTCGGCAGGAGGAAGCGTCGAGCTCCGCAGCGCCGTCTGGGGTCCCTCCACTGTCGGGGGGGCCGCAGGAGTGGAGCTCGAAGCTCGGCATCGGTCGTGAAAGTATGTGTATGCCGCCCTGCCTGGCGGAGCGTTTAACCGACCCCTATCCCCGTTCCCACTCCCTTGTCCAGACCCCACCATCCCACCACCCCAGTTGGGGATGTAACCCTCGAAGCCCGAAGGAAGCAGCCTATATCCCTATCTAGGGAGGTACATCGACCAGTGGGGCCCAGGCCACGCCGTATCGGACCGACTCGGCTGGAGAAACCGTCAAGCTCCGTAGCACCGTCTGGGGGCCCTCCATCGTAGGAGCGACCGAAAGTGTGAAGCTTGAAGCTCAAAATCATTTGCGGCAGTATTTGTACCCCACCCGGCCTTGCGGACGAAACCCACCCAGGCCCCAACCATCCACCCTGCGGGGGCAGGGAGTACCGTTCAACCCACCCCTTTCCCCATCTCCATTCCCATCCAGACCCCAAGCATCACACCACCCCAGCTGGGGATCTACCCCTCGAAACCCGAAGGTATCGGCCTATATCCCCGTCCAGGGGGGTGACTCGAACAGTGAGGGCCCAGGCCACGCCGTTTGGGGCAGAGGTCGACCAAGCGATGATCAGCAGGCGGCGGGCCTCCTAAGCAGGCGGCGGGGGACTTATCGGAGGCCCTCGCGCGCCGGTCTGAGGCGTCTGCTGGGCCTCCGAGGGCGCAGGCGGCCTCAGGATCAGAGGAGGCCAGGATGGTCGAGGAGGAGGAGAGGAGGAGGAGGAGAGAAGGAGTCGAGGAGGAGGAGGAGGAGGAGGAGGAGAGGAGGAGGAAGGAGGAAGAGGGGGTCGAGGAGGTCGAGCGGGGGCACCTCTGGGTCTGAGGAGCCGCCTCCTGTCCTCGGGGAAGCCTCGGCAGGCTTCTCGGAGGGCCAGCGGTCTCCCGAGAAGCCCCGCCGCCCCCTGCGGAGGCCTGCCCCCCCGATCGCACTTGCCCCTCAATTTCCTCCTCCCCTCCTCAATCCTCCTCCTCCTCCCTCTCCTCCTCCTCCTCCTCCTCCTCCTCCTCCTCCTTCTCCTCCTCTCCTCCTCCCTCCTCCTCCTCCTCCTCCCTCCTCCTCCTCCTCCCTCCTCCTCCTTCCTCCTCCGCCTCCTCCTCCTCCCTTTCCTCCTCCTCCTCCTCCTCCTCCTCCTCCTCCTCCTCCTCCTCCCCTGGGATCGCAGCCGACCCTCGGGGGGTCAGAATGGCTCAGACCTCCGCCGAGCTCGGGAGGGAGACAGGCCCAAGTCTGAGCGCAGTTCCTAAGACATTCTTGAGGGGAGGAACCACACAGACACCAGCAATCGCCGATTCCCAGGAAGACGTTGTAAAGCATGGGAAGTGGGGAGGACGACGAGCATCGAGAACATACTGGCACATATGGGTGGGGGAATCCTGGGATGTGTGTCCGTTGATTTGCGTGTGCCTGGGCCCCTTCATATTTATCGGCCCGTGAAGACCGTTTTCGAGCCCCGGGGCCATCAAGCATGGATCCGTGACGAAACAAAAAAAATAGCCGGTGGAAGCGGTCGGGGGGTCGCGGACTCAAGAGAAACATATCGGCGGACGGCTGGGGGAGCACTCTGAGATCCAAGCGTTGTGTTTGTTCACTTCGCGTCTTTTCGCATAGCCTCGGGACCTGGGGCCAGAGCAGATCGATCCGGCTTGGAAAATGCCGCAGAAGGATTAGGCCTAAGTAGGGTTCTGGTCGTGATTGCTTGGCGATGCTGTTCTTTTCCACGACGTCGGCTGTCAGGGGAAGAGGAGCGACACGCCGATGTCTGAAGCCCGTCAGCATGACAGTCCTCCGTTTTTTGTCCGACCGCCTGGTTATGTCAACAATGACGCGCTGATGTCAAAGGGGCGAGCCACAGCAGCAGCAGCAGCAGCAGCAGCAGCAGCAGCAGCAGCGGCAGCAGCAGCAGCATGAGCCGAGCGTCCAGCAGGACGTGTGGACAGAAGAGCGCGCCATTGGCAACTCTCCGGAAAATGCTACACGACAGACGGCGCGGGGGTTCGACGGTGGAGCAAAAGCTACAAGTGTCGCGATTGTGAAAGGGACGAGCGGAGCGCCCCACGTCCGTGAAGCAAAACACAGAGCGCCCGACTGTGAAGCAGAATCGCAGAATACGAAAGCCCCACTGGGGCGAGCCCCAGCATGGGATCAAGTGTTCCGCCATCGGGGACGACTCTCCCAGGGCGGCCGGAAAGTTGATGTGCACCCCCACTTCTCAGCTGCTCCGGTACAGGCGCCCCCGACGGCAGGGCAGTCTGCCACATGTCGCCGCGCCGGTGGTTCCGGCGCGCAGACTTCTACGTTCGACTACACGTAAGAGTGACCCTTCGCCAGAGTGACCTTTGGTGCGCGCTCACTGGGGTCCCCCGATCGCCGCGCTCGTTGCGATAGTAGCGTCTTGCGCGCTTGTGTTTGTTCTCCTCGCGCCCCCCAAAAAGCCGCGCACCAAAGGTCACTCTTGCCCAGGGTCACTCCTACGTGCAGCCGATACGTCTTGGGGAGGGCGCCGAGGCCACCAGGGCAACCGCCGCCCGGACGCGGGGGGCTCGCCGTGGCGTTTGCCGCGGTGCCAGCTTCGTCTGCTTGGGGGCGCGGGCCGCGGGGCTTGCGGTGGGGTTGCCGTGGTGCCGGCGTCGCCCACCTGGGCGCGTCGAGGACACACGGCGAGGCGGCACGTATTCTTCTTCGCCCGCTGGCTGATGGGATCCCACCGGTGGCGTGTCGTTCGTCTCGTTTGGGCTCCCCTACCCCCCCCCCTCCTCGCCCTGGCGGGCGGAGCGCACCGAACTCCCCAGAGATCCAGGCGTGGCGGTCTGGGAAGAGGCGCTCTTGACGTGCGAGGTTGCGCACGCGCTGGGGCTTCGTCGGGGCCTCTTCGTGGGCGCGCTGGCCGTGTCCGGGTCGCCTTGGGGCGGAGGGCTCGAAGCGCCAAGTCGAATTCCCCCTTTGGGTGCCATTTTGGCCGTCTTGAGGCCATCTTGGACAGTCGTTGGGCCCTCCAGGGGGCCCCTTAGCTTGTCGTTGGCAGGAGGCATTGTGCAACCCCCCGCTCCCGGGAGGCAAGGGGGGAAGAAGGGGGGGTCATGAATCCCCGCCCTCCTTTCCCGGTCGGGGGAAAGGGGGGCACGACAACCCACCCCCTTGGATGGGGTGGTCACGCCGAAGGCAATTAGGGATTGGGTGTTTTACGTTGCATCTTCGGGGGGCCTTGCCTGTCCCCATAATTGGTGTCTTTTCTTGTGCCCGACGCGGGCTCGATGCGGACTCGACGCAAATTTGGCGTGGATCCGACGAGGAGTCGACACGGATTCAACACGGATCCGACGAGTCCGACATGGATTCGACACGGATTCGACCCGGATAGGGGCGCGACGGGACAGACAAGGCCCCCCGAAGATGCAGTAAAAGGTGTTTGGGGGGGCTTTTGGGGCATCGTGTTAAGTTGGGCATGTCCCTCTACAGGAGGAATATTCAAAAATAGTAAAGTCTGGTATGGGGAAGATTTGTTTTACTATTTTGGAATACGTCTCGTTTTGTTGATGTTTCTCTTCATGTTTCTTCCAACATCCCCTTGTGGGAAGACATGCCCGACCTACGCATCGTGGGGACCTTGCCCTTCCATTGTTTTCAGGCCGGGCGTTTTTACCCGGCTTCGGGGTCTGGCGCCCTCACAGATCGATCGGGGAGGAGGAGGTGGAGGAGGAGGAGGAGGAGGAGGGGCCCGGTGCCCTCGAGAAATGCCGCAGAAATCTGGGGCCCGGGGCTCCTGTCGCAATGTTGCACGATGCGTTGTGCTTGTTCGCGACGTCGGATCTCAGAGCCTCCAACAGTCGTTGTGAACAGGGGGAGCAGACGCGGGGGGAGCTTCCTGTGATCTGCCCCATGGCACAGCAGAGCCCCGCCAGAAAGTTTCGGTGCGGCGCCCCATCCTGATAGGCGGAAACCAGGGGGAGGGGGAGGGAGGGGAGGAAGGACGACGACCAAGCCAGAGGTTGCCAAAAAGGGACACGGTGCAGGTCCATGCGCGGGGCGAAGCCCAGAACACGCAGACCGGTGGGAGCGGAAGGAAGGAGGAGGAGGAGGAAAAGGACGAGGAGGATGAGGAGAAGGACGAGGAGGGCGGCGAAGACGAGGAGGTGACAAGGACGAGGGGGAGGAGGAGGAGGAGGAGGGGAGGAGGAGGAGGAGGAGGTGGAGGAGGTGGAGGAGGAGGAGGAGGAGGATGTGGAGGAAGAGGAGGAGGAGGTGGAGGAGGAGGAGAGGGCCGAATCTCGATCTTCGAGCCTGATGTTGATGATGGCAATGCTGTTTGTCCTCGGTCCCCGCTCCCCTCCACCCTCAATGATCCGATGTCTTCATCTTGTTCAATCCGGGGTCTCTGGAAGTCCCGACCATCTCCCCCAGGGCACAGTTTTCGTCCCGAGCCGTGTTCTGGCGATCCCAGGCCCAGGCGAAGGGCCCCCCATGGTCGAAGACGTAGAACAATGTTTGTTACCTTGCAGTGCGTTGGATGTCTGGGGATGCTGCTGGTCCTCGATGTCCTGTGCTGGTTTCTCCCCGCCCCCCTCCACCTATGGAGCTCACGCAGAGACTTCTGCCAGAGGCCAGCACAGGGCATTGACGATCAGCAGCATCGTCCTCATCAACATGAAGCTCGAGGATCGAGGCTGTGCCTCCTCCTCCCCCTCCTCGTCGGTGTCGCCCTCGTTCTTCTCATCCTCGCCCCCCACCCACCCCCCGGAAAAATCACGAGAACCTTCAGTTTATCCGCAGGGGCTTTTTCGTGTGGCCACAGGGGCCTCTCGACGCCTACTCTGGCCGCGAGGAGAGCAGCATCAGCCTCATGCGGGAGGCCAACCTACGTGGGGCCCCGCCTGGTTCTCTTTCCTCCTCCCAATGCATTACCACATTGAAGCTACTACCGGCGAGTCCCAGCAAACTCGCCTCAGTGTCCACCAGTAGATGCAGTACAATCGGGGCGCTGAAGAAAGAACCCTTATCGTTTGGGAGGGGTTCCGTGTTCCTTCGTTGTTTTACGGTCTACTTTAGGTTGTTTTTCGGTTTTCGATCGGGCAATCGAAGTTGAACGTATGGAAAAAAGCTCGTTCCCTTTTGTAGTGGCCTCCGGCTGGTGCCGCCGATCCGGGACGCTTCCGTTGCTGCCGGAAGCGCACGATGGCGGTCATGACCGGCGACGACGGCGAACGGTGAGGATGATGAGGATTGGGAATGGAGGCGACGGAATAGGATGAGGAGGACAAGGCGGAGGATCATGCTCAGGTGGAGGGGGTGGGGGGGAGGGGCACGAGTAGCAGGATGCTGAGGTTGAGGGGGAGCAGGAGGAAGCGGGAAGTGGAAGAGGGGGAGGGGGAGAAGGAGGAGCATGACGAGGATGAGGAGATGTTCGGCGGTTGTTGGAGATGTCCGGCTGTTGTTGGAAAGCCTCGTTGGGGCCAGGTGTTGGCCCTCTTTTGGTTGACACCTCGCTGATTTGGCGCGCTTTCTGAAAAGCTTTATGCCCGAGCTGTCTGTGCACCATGGAGCCTTGTGCATCACCGGTCTCTGCTGGGAGCCATGGTTTTTTGGGGTCCCTGAGGCCTTCGCGCAGTCCTCTGCGCGCCCTTGTGAGATCATGGCTGTGAGGGACACCGAAGACGGGGAAGATGCGAAAGTTTGGAAGAAACTTTTGTACTGCAGCGCTTGTGCTCTGACGTCAACGTAATGGAAGCCTTGGGGCCTTCTCGGGGGGAGTCTTGGAGGCAGCTTGGAGGCCTCTAGAATGCGTTTGGGTGCATTTGTTTGAACCTCTTGGAGGGCCTTTAGGGGGCTTGGGGGGGCCTCTTCGGGGCCGCTTGGAAGCGTCTTGGGCCTCTTCATGCCTCTTGGGGGCCTGCTGGGGCCCTGCCGGGGGCGTTCGGGGCCGTCTTCTGCACTTCTTCTGTTATTCCCGCGCCTTCTTAGGCGCCTTTTGGGCCCGTCCTGGGGCCCTCCTGGGCGTTTCCGGGGGCCTCTTGGGCTATCTTGGGTTCTTCTCGGGCCGTCCTGGAACCGCTTTGGCGTTTTATTGGGCCGTTTTGGGGCTCGCTTGGAAGGTGTGCGACGTTCTGAAGGAAAGCCCCAGAGGCGAATCTGTTAAAATTGTACGCGTCCTCGAAGGAATGTAACATTGTTTTTTTCTTGGGCCTTCTTTTGGGGGGCCTTTTCCCAGGGCTTCTCAGGTCTCAGGGCATCTGGGAGGCTTTTGGAACCGCCTTGGGACATCTAGGGCGTCGTGTAGGTAACGATCGTTCGGCGACTCGGGGCCCTCTTGGTCCAGGTTGGGCACTCCTGGGCGGGGGGCCGTCCCAGAGTGAGCCGGAGCTCCGATTCCGCCCTGGGAATTTCAATTGGCCCCCCCTTCCCCTCACCCCGGCAGAGCCACCCGGGCACCCACCCCCCAATAGAGTTGAAGCTCAGGAGTTGAGGCTCAGGCTGTTCGGGGTCTTTGAAGCTCACACGCCGGATCGGCGGATTCTATCGTTTCTTAAGTCAACTTCCCAGCTACAAACGGGCCCCGCCCACCCGGGCTGCCCCTAAGCGGCCCGCTGGCTGGCCAGCTGGCGGACTCGGCGCGTTCCGCCGCTGCGCCCCGCTCCGCTCCGCCTCGTCGTCTTTGCTCTTCCCTTCCTCGTAACGATGAGGCCAAGAGAAAGGCCCTCCAGAGGGGGCGGGGTACTCCCCCTCTCCACAGAGGAAAGTCCCAGGGGGAGGAAGGAGAGGATGATCACAATGCGACGTGCGCGGGCCTGGGAGAACGAATCACGCAGACGACTCGGCCCCTTCTGTAGGGGGACATGCGGAGGGACAGGCAAGGGGACAGGGACGAAGAGGACGAGGCAACACACAGGTGGCCAACTCGCGCGTGCGTGGGCCAATCTGACTAGACGGCGCCCGCAACGAAGCCCTCGCGAGTGCGACCGGGGGAAACCAAGAGGGGGAAGGGGGAGCAGGAGGAGGACGGGGCACGGAGCGAGGAGAGATGGGCAGAACCTGCTGGATGTAGGCACTCGCCAGCGACATGCTACACATCTGACAGGATGGGCGCGGGCAGGCGCAGCCAGCCCCGTTCCTCCCCTTCTGCAGCGGCAGGTACGCCGCCCCCCCTCCGCGCCGCCGCCGCGCGCGCCAGCGGGCGCGCCCTGCGGGCGGAGGGCGCGAGAGCCCCCCCGACCACCAGGGGACCCCGTTTTTGCAGAAGGTCTTAGGCTGGGCATGCCCTTCCTCACGGGAGGAATATTCGAGCAGAGTCAGCAATGAGTCTGGGAATGTAAAAAAAATGTTTCTCTGTTTCCAGCTGTTGCTTAGTTTGGATGTTTCTCTTCACTTGTCTTCCAGAATCCGCCTGCAGGAGGACATGCCCGACCTAACGAAAGGGGGGGGAGGAGGGGGAGGCCACCAGACCGTCATCCGATCCTCCTCTCCTCATCCGCCTCGTCGTGCTCCACCTCGGAGGTGCTCACGCAGGGGTTCCTGCCGCTGGGCGCCGCGCACGCGGCCGTCGGCCAGCTGCTGAGCTTCTGGGCCCAGCTACTGGGCACCGGGGCCGCCGAGGGCGAGGCAGACGAGGCCGCCGCCGCCGCCGAGGAGGGATGGGTGCCACAGGTTGCGGAGGAGGAGGAGGAGGAGGAGGAGGACGAGGAGGAGGAGGAGGAAACCGAGGAGGAGGCCGAGGCCGAGGAGAAGGAGGAGGAGGAAAACCGAAGAGGAGGACACCGAGGCCGATGGGGGGGAGGCCGAGGAAGAGACCTAGGAGGGGGAGGTTTTTTTTATTTGCGCGCGGGTGATCGTCTGCCGAACACTCCTGCCCGTGGCGCCGAAACGACGAGCGAGGGGCCCGAAGAAGGGCCGAAAGAAGCGAGGGACGGACCAGGACCCGACAGAGCCGAGCGAGGGACCGACCCGAGCAAACAGGGACAACGAAAAATCGAGGGCCCGAAACAAGCGATGCTGGCAAGACTGGCGAGACAATTTGAAGCCCGCGTCCTGGCTCCTGGGTTTCCAGCCTCAACCTCTGGCCAGCAGCATAATTATACAACAAGACAGCACAGCACGGCGGCGGAGAGCCCTTCCTCTCTTCGCGAGCCTGGGCTGGGGGGGGACAAAAAGAGCACATAAAGGATGAGTGGGCGCAGGCGGTACGGGTGCCTGCTTCTCAGCGCCTCTGTACCCACTCATCCTTAGCCTAGCCTATAGGAGGGGGAGGCCGAGGAGGAGAAGGATGAGGAGGAGGAGGAGGAGGAGGAGGAGGAGGGGGAGGAGGAGAAGGAGGCGGGGAAGGGTCCCTGACCATGTTGGCTCAAGGCTGTAATAGTTGTGATGGACTATGGGCGTCCAAGAACAAGTAATTGGATTTGGACCCTCCCCCGCAGGCGACCCGAGCCGCCACGTGTTGCCGATCGGAGGCGCAGCCCGCTTTTCTCCCTCTGCTCTCAGTTTAGGGGTGTCTGCAGCCGCAGACGAGCGATGAGTGCTAGTGGAAGTGCTCTTGCTGCCGTTCTGGAGGCTGCTCCGACGTTCCCGATGCAGAAACGGGCCGAAGGGAAGAGGTTCCGCAGTGGGCGTGCTGCTGACGATGATGGGTGTGCTTTTGCCGTTGACGGATAAGTCATTGATCTCAAAGCGTGCATCGACGCCACAAAAGATTCGTTCATGGCGTCCGTCGCAGCCGTCCAGTCCCAACCCCAGGCCAGTGGACAGCTCAGTGGGTAACTTGGCCAGCACCGTGCAAAAGTCATGTGGGGGTCTTGCCCAACAATCAGAAAACCGAGTGGCCTCAGTGGAGTTCTCTCTCTCTCTCTCTCTCTCTCTCTCTCGCTCTGATTACAAGTCCAAGACTGGCAAGCGCATCGATACGATGGGTGAGATCTCAGAGTTGCAGCGACTCGTCGTTGTGCTTCGCTCGGAAGATCCCCTCCTGCCCCAATTGTGGACCGCACTGCGTTCGGCAGGAAGCCCGACGGCGCGATTCTGGTGGCGAGGACGAGCTTGCCCGCGCCCAAGGAAAACTGCAAGGCGGCGCTGCGCGAGCTGCTCGAGAGGAACACTGTGCCGCCGGCGGAGTGCACGTTCGAAGGTCAAGAGATGGCATCGAGGATGCATATAGCAGGAAAGTTGCTCAGATGCTTGGTTCTGCCCTTTGTCAGGACAACGCGCGGGATAGGTTACCAATGCACGATTATTTGGGCGCCCTTCGAGATCTCTTCCTGGACTTCGACATGAGCTTGTGCCAGGTCAAGCGGGAGCAGATGGTTAAGCATATCCGTATCGCAGGCAAAGAGGTGCATCTCGCGAAGAGGTGCTCCGCCGACTGTGCAAAAGCGATCGCGTCGGTTGGATGGAAGCTTGTTTCCCGCATCGAGCAGGATCAGAACGAGATGCCGCCCATTGCAAAGTGGGTGGCCGAGAACCTCAACGCTGAGGGCGTCGACGAGGACAAGGTCACGAACGCGATCGCTCAGATTGTTCAAGGCCTGCGCCAGCGCAGTGGTCCTAGCGATCTCTCTGCGGCATGGCACCGCGACGATCGGTCTCTGCGGCGTGGTGCCGGGCCAACCTTTCCGAGATAGCGCAGCAAATTGCTATGTCTCATCTTACTCCTCCCCGCAGGCTTGACCTCCACGAGACGACGATGAGAGATGCGACGAGAGAGGCCCCAGACGCGATCATGCGACACAAACTTCACGATCCCCTGGCAAGGCCGATCATCCCGAGGTCGATCCCGAGAGCATTTTGGCTTCAACACGTGCCACATAGCTTTGCGAACTATCCGCGCGCAGCCGTTGGGGCCAAGTCCATCCAGCTCGGTGCTGACGGTGCCAGAGCTGTGCTGCCTGATCTTCCCGCTTTCCAGCTGGCAACCCAGCAGGAGCACGTCCGCCTGTTCGAGTCCGCCACAGACAGGGCCAGCATGCGCTTGAAGTGCGCTGGGCATGGCCCGTCCAAGGCCAAGCTTCGCCAACGGATCCGAGGACTGCAGAGGGGCGGGCGTCTGCGGGCCCCGCTCGACAGAAAGTTGTCTTTCCAAGGGATCCGACAGACCCCCGAACCTGAAAGCGGTGACCCTGCCGTTGCCTCCCCCTCGGGAGTGCTGTACCAGTTGGCGATGCAGCGGGGCCCTGTCTTTGAAGCCGAGGCTGCCGACGGCGCGGCTGCTCGACATTATCTCGATCGTTTCGGGTTCGAAGTTGAGCTGGGCGACTACCGCCCCACAGGGGCACGGTGATCATGCGCGTTCTCAGAGGGGTGGTTCTAGCCCCCCCGGGCCCGACGCGCTGCCGCGCGCCGCTTGGAAGGGCCGCTTTGAAGGGGCCAGGGTCTTGTAAGAAGTCTTTTCCTGGGCGCTGGAGGGCGAGTATCTCCCGCTCGGCTACGACGTGCCGCGCGGGGCTTTTCTCGCCAGGGGCGAGGCGGATGGAGACGAGGTCCAGGTTCTTCGAAGTGCCCGCCAGACTCGCCCTCTGGGGCGCATGAGCTGAGACCAACATTATCATTAATGAGCGCTGCCGTGCGCTTGCCCGTAGGCTGCCCCAGATAGTCCGCAGGCATCGGAGAGGAGTTGTGCCATCCCGGAACTTCGGCGAACACGCGCTCGAGCTCGACGCAATGAGTAGTACCACCGCCATGGAGGAGGTCGTCGGGCGGACGCCCCCCGTGCTCGCAGCCTTCGATGCTGGCCAGGCCTTCCCGTCCATCAGCCACGCTTGGATCTTGAGGATCCCCAATCCCTTCATCTCCGTGGGCCTCGTCTCGGGCCTCTGACCTCTGGAAATGCTCTGCCTGGATGCACGGCGTCTTCGAGTTGGGAGCGAACTCCGGGTTCGATTTACCATCGGTTCAAGAATTATTCGAGGATGCATGTCTTCTGGGATGCTGCGCGCGTTGGTGTCGCCCCCTCTCGCGCGCCGCTTCGAGGCGCTCGCGGGGGCCCTTGGTTCGGGCATAGCGAGGGCATGCCAACCTTAGATCTAGTGTACTCTATAGTGTACTCTATAGATTTGCAGCGTTGCGTAAACTGCTCTACCGCTTCCAGGGCACGCGAGCGCATGCCAACCTTAGATCTAACGTTCAACTTCTGCGCCCTGGCCCCACTAGCGGTTTTTTTTGTCCGAGGGCCGCCAGGATTTAAGCCGAGTGGCTCGGGGCCCGCGTACCAGAGTGGGCGGACTGTAAGATCTCCAGTCACCTGGAGTATCTAGGCCGTCAGATCGGGCCTGGAGCTGGTCTCGCGTCTTGGACGAGCCCCCTTTCGAAATGGCTTAGTAGAGCTGCCGCCGTCGCCGCCGCGGGGCCCCCGCCGCGCGTCGCCCCCGCGCACTACGACATCCGTATTCTCTCGACTTTGATCCGCGCCAGTCAATTCCAGAGATCGCCGCGCCAAGAGGTTGCCAAGCACGAGCAGAGGCTCTTTGAGATGGCGTTTATGATGCCGCACTGCTGTCTCTCTCTTGAGACGACCGGCTCCGCCTGCACGAATGGGTCGGCCCTCGTGTCATGAGCGCCGCTTTGATGAATGTGGTCACGCTGGTGAGACCGGCATAGGCCACGCTGAGCGTTTGGGCCGAGTTCGGCACCCTTCTTGAGATGCGCGCGCGCGCGAGAGTGCTTGCCGATTGTCGATTTTGTCCAGGGCAAACGTTCCCCCGACTTTTGAACTGGCCTTTGCCGTGCCCTCGAGATTCAAGAAGCAGCCGCAGGCTTCCTATCCATTCCGCAGTGGAAAGAAACTGAATTTACAGCGGGCCAAGCGGCAGGCGATGCGTTCCGGCGCGGCAAGAAAGTGCAACGCGCTGCCTTTGCTGCGCTAAGTGTTCATTTTTTCCCGTCCACTCTGACGCGTGATTTCTTTGCCCGTCTCCTCCACTTGTTCCCCCACTCCGCGCGAACCATCAGCCAGATCTCGCGCGCGGAAGTTCAACAGTACATCCGAGGATGCCTTTTTTTTTGCAACAGTTTTTGGAATGCCCTCGCTGGGGGGTGGACCACATATCGCCCATGTCAGTGTGATGGCCACCTATGCGTAATCGAATGCGGTGGTAGTGACAAGCAGAGCCGCTAGTTCGAATGCCGCGACATGAGAGCCCTTTTGGGACGCGTGCTCCATGTGTCTTGTTTCTTACTGCCCCATCCATCGTCTGGGTCTCTCGGACCCATACCCCTTTGGTTTCTTTTATCTCGTGGCCGCACACTAGCTCCATTGCCCCGCCTCTTCCTTCCCTTCCTTCCCGCTGGGCGCTGCCGATGTTGATGCTTTGTTCCCCACCCTCTCCTTCTCCATCGCCCCTTTGTCCTGCGCTGCTCTTGGGGAGAACAGCGCGACCGGCACTATCGCACGAACCGCGCCCCCGCGCCCTTAGCGCCAAGCGCGGCCGCCAGCAGTAGTAGGAGTCGTAGCAGATGGGGACTGACCTGGCTGTGGGTACGAGCGCAGGAGGAAGAGGGGGAGAAGGAGCGAGATCCCAGTTGATCCGGCAGTGCAATGAGCAGCATCAGACATGATATTTTACTGACACCTGATCATACGAGGAGGAGGAGGACGACGAGGACGAGGCGGAGGAGGAGGAGGAGGA